ATTAAACCTTCATTTATTACAAATAACTGATGTTTAATTTTGGAAGATGTTTAGAAAAACCAACCAATATTTCCAAAAAATGACAAACCCCTCTCTGCCCTTTAAAAGAAAAATTAACCTCATTGGAACATAATAGGTAATTGTTTGGGGGAAAAAAAAATCAAGTGTAAGTGTCTTAATTTAGATGCTTTAGGGTTCTTGGTTGTAGCCGTGTTGGTCTAAGGACATAGACTGACAAGGTTCTTTGGGTAGATGTGATATCTTTTGAGACCAACTAACCAGTTGGAAAAATTGTTCTTTGCAAGCTTTCAGGCACAAACATCCTTCTTCAGACATAGAGAGAATCTCCCTCTGCTTGAAGAAGGGTGTTTGGGGCCCCAAAGCTTGCAAAGAACAATTTTTCCAACTGGTTAGTTGGTCTCAAAAGATATCACATCTACCCAAAGAACCTTGTCAGTCTATGTCCTTAGACCAACACGGCTACAACCAAGAACCCTATGTCTGAAGAAGGATGTTTGTGCCTGAAAGCTTGCAAAGAACTTTTTTCCAACTAGTTAGTTAGTTTCAAAAGATATCACATTAACCCAAAGAACCTTGCCTGCTTAAATTTAGACAATTTTCAGTACCCATATTTCAAAATCTTAAGATTGTATGCCCAAGTGTTCTTTAGGAGATAGAAAAAAAAAGTGTATCATACCATTTCTATTTGTTTGTTACAGAATTAAAGCACAAGCATTACTCTAAAATTTATTTTAAAAAAGCGTAAGTGTGAGAGGGGAGGCAAAAGCCCCTCCAACATGTCCCAAGACCCCGCCTGACAAGCCCTGGTATTCACCACAGGGACGAAGACAAGCGGCAGCTGTGGAGAAACACCGACACAGGCTCAGCAGTTCTGAAGCTGCCTGAGCCTGAGAATTGGCAAGCCCCGGGGCGGGACTTTGGAGAAGTGCGGGCTGCTTGAAGAGCAGCTGGAGAGTCAGTCAGCTGGCTGGGGAGAGAGGAGCGGAACGCCAGCCAGGAAACCCTGGCCGCAGAGCCAGGCAGCATCAGCCCTGAGCACAGGGAGGGGAAGCTGAGCATCTGCTAAGGAATCCCAACAGAAGGAACAGAGAGTCCAAGCCCCGGGAGCAGAGGGTCGCTAGGGAGCCTCAGCGGGGAAAAGCAATTCCCCACCATGCACTAAAGCGGAGCCACAGCTGCGTCAGAGAGTTCAGGTACCGCGGTGGGGAGGGGCAATGAGGGACGGCTAAGTCCCTTGGGATGTGGTAAGGGTGGGGTAAAGGGAGGGTTGGAGCCCCACAAATAAAAGACTAGAGTCAAGACCCCTTTGGGGCCATGACAGGGAGATGCCTTCTCATCAACCAACATCAAAGACATGGCAGGCCTGAACCATCTAGGTGGCACCAGAGCCCGGTCTCACCCTGATGTCGCTAGGGAACAAGGCACCCACCAGAAAGGAGCCAAAGCCTTATAATACCTACCAACAACAGTAAGAAAAACCAACTTGTTTCAGAGAATGTACACTTAATAGCAGTAAGAAATAAAATATGGATCTTTACCTGTACACGGAAAAATTACTATTCTAGAAGAATTGGAAGGTCATAAAACTTACAGTTTTAAGATCTGAAAGCTCTCAAATACTAGCTCTACCATATAACGAGAAGCATTATTCCCAAAGGGATTCATTAATAGTCATCTTGGGAATAAATCCTCATGGCAAGACTAGTACCTACCCTACCACTTTTATATAACCAACTTCTCCGATTTCACAAACCTGTATAGATGTCATGACTCCATTAGCAAGAACAGAAAGTCTTCCTGCCACCAATTTTACTCCTTGTTTAAAATGAGTCATATCAGGAGCTGAAGGCAGAACATTTGTAATATTGTAACTTCCTAAACAGGGAATAAAAACACTGTAGTGATACTGTGCTCCCTAACATGCACCTTTTTTATACAGTACAGCATGTATTGTGCTATACTGAATGTCATACACATGAATATTTGAATAGCCTTATTCAGAAAATGCCTAAAAGTTAGAGTTATAAAATGTCAGGTCTAAAACTATTCTAATTACTCAGCATCATACTGCTTTATGTTTTCAGATGTTCACTTGTGGAGTCATACATACTTCTATTAAACTTATTTTGTAAAATTAACCAATTATTCATATTCATATTTCAAATTGATGAATTAGTCCAAAAACATAAGTTAACTCCTATGGGCTTCAACTGTATACAATATTACTTGTTTCCTGGCCAAACTGCTGTATAGCATTGTTATGTGCTTTAAACAATGATTCCACCTCAAAGTCAAATGCATTCAAGTGGTGGGTAAAATGAGACTTTTACTTGAAGTCTGGAAAGAATTCATAGATGAATCTACAGTAACATCCATTTCTGCACTACATTCTAGAATTCCAAAACAAAAAATGTGGAAAATGTCATCTTTACTTAGCCTCATCTTATAGTTAGTCTGGATAACTTCTCATGATTCAATTATTGATTTGATTTTTCTTCTTCTCATGATTGGATTATCACTCACTGTGTAAATACTAAATTATGAAAAGTATGCATCTGGAAAATCACACAAACAAAAACTTTCTCTAACACGTCAGCAGATTATCACACTGGGATTAAATCTCCTCTATGATTGATGAAACAAAATATTTAAATACCTTTATATCAGGGTATTCAGAAATAAACTGAAGTTATCCAGTATAATACTGTAGCGTATTGAGATGCAGCAGCAGATTTTCAAAAGCACATTTTCTTACCAGTTTAGTTATAGAACACAATAGGGACCTTGGGCTATAAAGGAGGGGGCCAGTTCAGTAGTACGAGAAGAATAATACTGGAGTAGACTAAGGATAAGTGATTTCTAAAGTTTTATCCTAGTTCCAACATGGAGTTTCTTCGCAGCTTTGGTTAAGTCACTTCACCCCTATGAGCAGAGATGTGGTCTTAAGTTCATAATGTGGATAATTCCTGTCTAAGAGCATTGGAACAACTGTTTTTAAATGCTATAAAGAATACTTAAAACTAACTCATTTGTTGATGCTCTTTCCATCAAAAGCATGAATCTCCAAATCTATATCTTATTCAGACATCTGTCCTTTACAAGACTTTTCTAGATGTTGTTGGTCCTACATGGCCCTCCAAGGTTAACTGCTGAGTGCTGCTTCTTCTGAAGTAATGAAATCAAGTTCAAATAATATTATCTGCCCTATAAGTTAAGGAAGAGTATGAAAATTTTTTATTGTGAATCTTTAGATTCTTATAATGAAATTTACCACGAGTCCTGAGTAGACTTTCGTAATAAATACTAAGCACAAAATAGAGCTTACATACTTCATCTGTGCAAAACTGAAATAGCTAGAATGCTGACAGTGCAACTGGAAACCAAGACTCTGAAACATGGGAATATGTCAAACAGAAAAGTACAATTTCTCTCTCTGCCTTCATTCTATACCTGTTGGCTGCTTCTTCTGATCTTCAAACAAGTCAGTTGAACTTATAGAGGAGCTTCCAGAAAGTCTCTCTAATCGAGCCCTAGCTTCATACTAGAAAGAATTGCAAAAGAAAGTATTAACCATAGTATACTGACATGCTTTTCAGCTTTGAAGCTCGTAATTCCAGGTATGGCTGGCAACAGCTGAAAGCCATCATCTAGTGGCTTAAAACAGTACACCAGAGCAATCATTCTCTCATAAAAATGCAACGCGATGCACTATTTTATTGACATTCTAGTCAGTACTATTATGGATTTCTAAATGGCTTTAGCAAAACAGTGGAATGGGTAGTTTATAGGGCTAGCTAACTGCGTGGATGCACTAAACATATTTGCATATTACAAATATGGGGAAATTACATTTAATATTTTTAAGTAGTATTGTTAGGATAGCACATTTAGCTTTAGCTACACCTGCTTGGGTGGTAAATTATACTATTATTTGAACTTTTCTTTTATATTCAGCCACATTTAACCACTGCTTAATTTTTTGTATAGCTTCATTATTATGTGAACTTTCTTTGTCATTTTGTATCTGCACTATCAGCTAATAGTCTCGAGCTTGCTTTCATAGGGAGCCTATATTCCAGTGTTATCAACATAGGTGTGTACAATGCAAGCCTTGTTACTAGCTCAAATTGATTGAATGTGACCACTAACCAGCTGAATCTAAAATGATTAGATATGTTAATGAAAGTTGATAATAAGGAACCACTGAACAGTGCTCAACCGCAGAGCCCTTGGAATTTCTGGAGTTAGTGGACAGACCAAATTAGGAGTCCAGGGCATGCCTAAGTTAAGACACCAGTAAAAGACCAAATTAAGCTGTGATGGGTTTCTTGGGAAAAAAGGAATATGCTGACGAGATAAAAATATGAACAGTATGATGATCACAGGGAAACCAATCAACAGTATCCAAAAACAAAGAGACATCAAAAGAGTAAAGTTAAAGAAAAAGCATAAAAAGGGGGGCAACAAGGAAGTTGGGTGTATGTCATCAAACAACAGCTTGATTGAAAAACAGTCCATTACCCACAGACAACCACCCTCTACTTTCAGGAACTGATTGGCCACCTTTTCTAAGAAGTGGAGTAACTTCAGGGATTGAGCGAGACCACTGAATTGTTTTTCTCCCTCTGTATAAACTATTAATACCTTTAGCATGTTAATAAACTTAGATTTTATTAAGTTGAATGATGTGAGGCATATTCTGTGTTCACTCCGGGTTGATTATGCTTTAGCGAGTCTTAGCACCATGGGTACATATCAGTATGAGAGAGATGTTTGTAAGATGTCTTAAAAATATTTGCTTGCAATCAAGCAGATCACATTCTCAATCCTACTAAAGGCTAACTTTCAGATCCAATTCAAAAGGGAAATATAGCAGTTGAAACTTAAGCACTACCATCAACTGAATATTCAGATATAAGTTTATGAACTTACAAAAGACAACCCCACTCCTTGACTTAACTATTTAGTACCCAGTATGTATAACTGCAACATCATTTTTTAAACACCATCACAGAATATTGAGCATATACAGTGTTTATAAGATGTAAAATTATTTGTACTTACATCTGCATGGTCTTGCTTTCCGAAATACATGTCTGATGAAATAGCTTTGACATTGCCAAACTTTTTTTGTGCCTCATCTGTGTCTAAAGGCGACTCATATTCAGGTTTACGACGAGATGCAGGCCTAAAAAATTTTTTTAAAGCTTTTGCTTAGGTTTTAAGTTCTATTTGGTACATTATATACATTGTAATTATATGGGAAGTAGTATTTTTATAAAAATACCTAAAGGACATACTCTCATTTAAAGATCAATATAAAAGCTAAATCAACCTGAATTAAAGTAAGAAAAGTTGTCTCAGTTTTTCTTGCAACTGACAAAGTCACAGAACCATAATATTATAGAGACAATTTTATAGGTAGGTGTGCATATATTACTGAACTACAACCTCACCAAAATATTTGGGCTTGAATTCAAAGACAAAGCCAGGCTAACTACAACATTTATACAGTAAACAGAAATTAGTTTAAGCTTTGCCCAAAATGAATATTTAAAAAGAAACTTTACAATGCATACTGAGAAACAAGTCTGTTTCTAGCCGACTTAATTTAGTGATAGTAGAGGAGTCCATAATTCTCTCTTTCACACCCTACTGCCAAATAAACACTGAAATCTCACCAGAATACCACATTAAAAGAATGTCAAAACAAATAAGAAAGTAAGCTAACAAAAATTATGGTTGTTTGTGTTTCTTTGATTCTCTGCATATACATTATGATAAAGTTTTCAATTATACAAATCACATGCTGTTATTTTCTAACGCCATCCAGTGAAAGAGGAGTATGAAATTAATGTTTAAATAACTTAAAGGGAGAAGTAAAAGCAAGCTGGGCACAGTACAAGTCATGACTACAAAGTTTAAAACATGTTTTTCATTGCCGATATATTCCCATTATAGGCTGTTTTAAAATAAATCTGTTGCTCGCAGATATTTTAAACCTTAATATACTCAATGAATGAATCATGGGTGCAAGGAAACACAGTCAGTGTATGATTTAAGGGATAAGGCAAAATGTCTTCAAAAGAAAACTAGACAAGATGTTAGAACAGAGGCAGGCAATTATTTCAGGAGGAGGGCTGCTTACTGAGTTTTGGCAAGCCATTGAGGGTTGCACGACAGGCAGCCAGGGGCAGATAAATATAAATTTTCTAATTTTTTTTGCCCACCCCTTTGTTAGAATAACTAAAAAAAATAATTAAAATACAATGCTCTTATAATCCAAATGCAATGCTCATCTTGTTTTATGTAATTGTTTTTGGCTTATGGTTTTGGAAAAAGTAAGCATTTCATCTTGCCTTGTTTAGTTCTAAATAAGCAGTGCTTAAATAATAAAGTTACATAAAATCTTGATACAAGTGTAAGAATAACCTCACTATTACTAGTAAAAGATGTGGTCAAATCCCACTAGTCTTAGTCACACAAGAAGTCCCTTTAAATCATCAGTACTCTCATAAGTTAGATGAGAGTATCTTGGGACCAAAATCAGAATAAGTAGTCTCTATATACCTGTCTGAATAGCCTGTAATTTTTGAAGTTAATATTATGTCAGCATCTCTATTACTCTCCTTCTTCCAAAAAGAATCTGAATTATCATCCCACTTAGAAAAAGTGCTGTTCCTCAGCTCTGCAGAATCATAACACCTGGATGAGAAAACAGAAGAGGAGTATTGAACAAAATGCCCCATTCCAGCTTTATTTAATTTACTCAAAGCCTTTCAGCTATCTAGTGATTACTAAAACCTGTAAATAAAAGAAAAGAACACAAACCCCTAGATTCAACTAAGCAAAGTTTCTATATCAAGGGTTCCCAATTAGTGCTTTGAAACCTAACCTAAATTTTATCAGTATTTCTCCTCATGGAAGAACTCCGCTATAAATATTCTGAAAAATTATTCCTGAAATGTAGGCATGTATGACTATCTGTTTTGATGAAAAGAAGAAGAGAGTTACACATTCTGTGGTAAATGGTCCACATGTAATCAGTGTGCATCCAACTGTATATGCACGTGTGCCTCAGGCATGATCCCAAAGAGTGTTGTTTTTGAACAGCAGTGGTCATGAGGGCCACCAACGGACACCAAGCCTCCTTGTAATCCAGCTAAAAGGGCATAAAGGGTGAGTTGGCCACACTTCTTCCTCAGTTCCCTTGCAGATCAAAGCCATGTTGTTAAGGATTTCAGAAACCAGGGACAGAGAGGACAGGTTGTGGGACCTACCATCTTAAAAACCATACACTTTCAAATACTGAACGTTTCTATCAAGGATGCATCCAGAGAAGTTCCCACAATAAATGATTCCCACTTCCTTGGAGAGTGGAAGCATGAAGTTTTAGCAGTATCAGTCACTGACTGAAGTACTATTATTGTGACCCTGGTGTCTGATTTGACTGGCACGTAAAATGCATGTTTAACAAGTCACACTGGAACATTAAACTGTGTTTAATGTGAACTATTTAAAAAGTTTCAGTTATAAAATGAATTCCCTCCAAACAAAAACAGCTGTAAAATTCTGCACAACTGGCTGCCTTCTAGATACAGTATAGCACTATTATATTCCCTTCAAAAAAAGGAACAAATATATTACCTTGAACTAGAGGAAGAGAAGTATGAATCATCCCCCTCATTGATGTATTTTTTCTTTGTTTTTGCAACTGTGGGTGTTTCTTGCTCTATCATTTGCATGTCTGAGACAACAGAATGAGAAATGCCACTGCACAAAAAAAAAAAAAGGAACTTGTAAAGCAGACACTAGCTACAAATCAAGCAAAGTACAATCTCTGATTTTCTGAAGGTCTCAGGTGACATTCAAAATGTACAAATAATTGAGGCTTATGAACAAATGGAACCTTTGACATATGTATTTTATAGAATTTTTACCTCTGCCAAGCAGATTTCAGAACTGGCCATCTCAATTGATTCTAAAGCATGCCAACATGGTCTTTCATGGAGCTGTTAAAATGTTTCAGCTGGGTTTCCTACAAACGGCTAACTACGGTCAAAATTTAGTGCAGAGGCACTATGCAACTGCAGTTCACTGGCTGTTTTAGTTAAACTGAAATGTGCTGCACATTAGGTAGAATTTAATATACCCCACAGATCAATAAATACACCATCATTGCTCCAACAATGGTGCATGCTATTAGAAAGCTTCTCTAACACACTTAATCGACCACACATTTCAATTTCCTTCCTGATCAGCAGGGATCCTGATTTTCTCCAATAAAAATAAATAAATAAATCACAAATTCTCTAAAGAAAAAATAAAATAATAAATCGCAAATTCTCTGATAAAGCCCCCAAAATCCATTATTAAAATTAAAAGCCCCATGCAGCTGTGGCGGGCCAGTAGGGGGAGCTCCTGCGTTGAGCCTCTCACCTCACTACGCCTGTCCACCTTCCAGACTCCACACAACTCCCCAGGGGCGCCTAAACCCTGGCAGACCCCCATTCAAGCCCCACCGCAGAGGCCGGGGGTAACGTGCTGCCACCACCCCGAGAGGGGACCTTCTAGGTCCTGTGTCCTCGGGGAAACACAGGCCTAATAGTCCTATGAGTACTCGACCCAATACAAGCACTTGGGGCTCCTCCCCAAGTCAGGGGCCAGAAAGGATAGTCTCCCTTAGTCCGCAGACCTAAGGGGCCTCCTAGGCATAATTAAACCCACCCTTCAATAAGTCTCCTACACCAGTCACAAAGGAGAACTTTATTGGTTACAAAGGGTAGGGTTAGAATAGGGTAAGAGGTAGAGCACTATCAAGGGATTATCAATGAGCAAAAGAGTCTGGCTGAGGTAGCCATTTGATACGCAAATGCATCACTGTGAGCTAACTCTCTAGAAAAACTTACCAGTATCATCCAGAAGATGGTAGAGATCTGGCTCAGGGATTTCCAGAGAGAGTGCGTTATAGTTGGATCAGACTCTCTCCCTGTGCCTGGTGTTTGGGCCATGCTGGTAAAATGGCTTCTCATCCCCTTCTCCTTGGACCAGGCCCTTATATAGCACCTTTCTGACCTCAGCAGCTCAGTCCAATAAAAGCCAGCAGTGTTGGCAACTAGCCAACCAATTTTAAAAGCCTCACTGGTTACCTGGGCTTTTCCCTCCCTCCACTCAGGTGACCAGAGGGACCACACCGTAGGCACCAAGCTTTTGTCATGTAGGCAGAGGGAGCAGGTTTCCCCCCTCCCTCAGGAATGTATCCAGCTCAGGTTACCTAAAGAGATAGGGTAAGGATGCATCTCTCTGCTGGGCCCATCCTTATCAAATTGTCACAGCGCAGGGACTTTGGGGAGAGACAAAAGGTGGCTTTCTGCCACAGCAGCCGCCCCCCTCCAGCCCGGCTGGTGCCCCTCACTTGCCCCTGAAGCCTCCCCCAGCCCAGCTGCCCAGCTGCCACAGCTATGGGGCCAGGGACCCAAGTCTGCAGTTTCCTGCCCCCAACAGCAGACAGCTGCAGCAGAAGCGGCATGAAGCCGACTCCCACATGCTGCTGCCTGCTTGGGTAGGGCTGGGGCCAGCTCCTGGCTCCCCTCGCAGCCCTGCCAGTGCCCCGAGTCATGATCCACAACCCCCCAGCCCTCCCAGAGGGGCCCCAGCCCCTGCAAGCCCCACTTACCTCACAGGCTCCAGGAGCGAAGTGAAGCTGAGCTGAGCCGAGCTGTGGCTGACTGAGCGCCTCAGGTACCACCCTTCCTCTTCCCCTTCCCACTCCCACTCTGGGGAGGCCTGGGGGTTTCCTGCCCTGTTTGTAAACAGTTCTTGCATGCTGGAGCTCAACCAGCCTGCAGAGCTCTTTGCAAAAGCAGGGAATCCATAGGTTTCTCTGATAAAAAGGGGAAACCCATGGTTTTCTCTGTTTTTCCGTGGGAAACGGAAAACCCGGATCCCTGCTGATCAGAGATAATGCTATACTAACATATGCATAAAATTATAAAGCCTTTTAAACAGAGAATTTATATGACTTGACATACCTTCTGTTGCTGCCAAATCCCATGCCAAGTCTTTCTATCTCAGATTTCTTTTTACCAGTCAGATTTAATTTTTCATCTTTCCTTTGAATTTCAAGATCCTTGTAGGTCAATCGTAAAGATGATACTCTAAAATAAAACACGTAACAAATATATAACAAATGTAAATCATTAGCCCTTAATCCTGGTATAATTGGCAGAAAAGCAAAAAAATACATGTAACAACTAAAATACTGCATTAAAGCCAAGCTAAAAGATACAAGAATTGGCCTTGACATTTTGTCAGTTATTTTACATACTTAAACTTTTTCTGAGAATTTGTGATTTATTTATTTATTTATTATCGGAGAAAATCAGGATCCCTGCTGATCAGGAAGGAAATTGAAATGTGTGGTCGATTAAGTGTGTTAGAGAAGCTTTCTAATAGCATGCACCATTGTTGGAGCAATGATGGTGTATTTATTGATCTGTGGGGTATATTAAATTCTACCTAATGTGCAGCACATTTCAGTTTAACTAAAACAGCCAGTGAACTGCAGTTGCATAGTGCCTCTGCCTCTAAACCTATACTATGTCCCCACACTGCTGAAGCAAAGGCTAAAAGCTCTTGACTTTATCAGTTCAGCTGAAAGGCGAAAAATTTATTTCCAAGAATGTATCAATATAAAAGTGATCAGTCAGATGCAGCTGACTGGAAAATGCAGCTTTATACATAGCTGTATGTATTATGGTAAATTTTAAGATTGTGTTAAATTCTTTGCTGACTGTGATCAAGATTGTGAATTTGGATGCTTAAAACTTTGCATGCTAATATTCTTAGAAAAGTAGTAGTGCATTTGGGACAGGGCTAGAGAGGGAGGTATAAATAAAGCTGGGCCCTGCTGGCCATTCTATCCAGAACTGCAGGGCCCCTAAAATAATTTAGAAAATGTACTTATTTTCCCCTGGCTACCTGTCATGTAGCCCTCAATGGCTTGCCAAAACTCAGTAACCGGCCATCCGCCTGAAATAACTGCCCGCCCCTGAGAAAGACCCACTAGGAACAGTTTTCAGTCAGAAAGATTTTGGTTGGAAGTGAGATTCAAAGCAAAGCAGATTTTTTTTAGACATTCTAATGTACATGATCACATTACAGACTTCTTATTAATGAAAATTAAGTGAATTAAAACCATCTTAATCCTTCAAGTTTCAAAAACCCCTCACTTTATTTTTGAACTAACAAGATGACTTAATATCTTCACATTAGTCTATTGGTCTTCTTTGCCATATAGTCATTTGCAGGTAAGTGTATTCCAACATGAATAGGAACTGGTATACAGTGTGGGGGTTGTTTGTTTGTTTTTTAAAGGACCATCTTGTTGGCATTTTTAACAGCTTTCTTCAAAGAGCTGATTCCCATACTGGATTTGTTCTCCATCTCTCATTTCTACATGAAAGCAGTCAAGCTACCTTGATTGTTTTTATTTTATTCATCTATTAATAACGTACCATATAGCAAGTGCTATTATAAAGTTACTAGCCAATTGCCCGTCAAAAATGATTGGGGGGGGCGGGGCCCGCTGGGGAAAGCAGCCTGCGTTCAGCCCCGCTCCCCACCCCCACCTTCGGGGCCAGGCCTGCTCCTCACCTCCCCGCCCGCCGCTTCAGAGCTGGGGCCAGATCACCCCCCTCCATGTCTGCTGGCCCCACTCACCCCATCCACTCCATCACCACCGCCTGCAGGGCCAGGAGAATGTGGCCAGCAGTGCTGGCCTTGCCCACCCATCCTCTCTGTTTTCACGGCCTGCAGGGAGCAGGGAGGACAGAGCCAGCCCCCCCTCCATCCATTCCGTCACCAACGCCTGCAGTCGTGGGCCCAAGGCCAGCGAAAAAAAATCCTTGCCTGGCCCCTTGCCCTGGGGGGGGGGGGGGAGGGGGCAGCACTGCTAACCTGTTAGCTCCATCACCTGCCAGGGTGGGTGAGGACAGAGACCCAGGACCAGGCAAACTCCCCCCAACCCTCTTCCTCCCCACTTTGGGGCCCCCCCCCCCCAATTCAGGCCTGACCCTGTTCCCTCACCCCCACCCCCAGCAGTTCAGGTTTGGGGCCGCTCCTCCTGCCCCCTCCTTGCCACAGCAGCCCCAACCCCATTTCACCCCCTCCTCCACAGAGCAGAGGGGGCGCTCCCCCTTTCCCCCATCCTCCCCACCGCTGTTGTGGGGCCAGCGTTGGGTGCGCCGCCTTCAACCACCCCACCGCCATGGCAGGGACCCGGTGCACCCCCCCATACCCTCCACTTTGGGGCCAGGCCGGGCCCGGTGTGCCCCCTCCACCCCCATTACCACCTCCAAGGAGCAACCATTCCATCTGCTCCATTGCCGTCACCTCCAGGGAGCAGGGCAGGGGTCCCCTGTGTCCCCACCATCATAGCAGTGCTTCGCCGCACTGTCACCTCCTGCCCAAACACTACATTCACATTTCAATTGGTTGTTTCTATCAGCCAATAGGGTGCGAATAAATTGTTATAGACAGAGAGACAGACAGACTACAGCTTTTATAATATTAGAATTACCTCTAGCTAAGAAAGTCATTAAAATCTGTTCCAAACCATGATATTTAGAAGGCTGCATGGGTGACCGGTGCCTCGAGTCAGCAATCGGGGGGGTGGGGGAGTTCCCCCAGCGGCCGATCCCACTCACCAAAAAACAGCCACGCCACTTCCAGAAGCGGCGTGCACCCCCTATGTGTCGCCACTGGAAGGCTGTATCAGCATAGAGAAAAATAATTCCAGACCAACTTACCATTAAAAAAATCTTACCATGGGAAGAAATTAAAATGTTATACGATAGTTAGATGTTGTGCATGCACATTGAGTATTTTGATATAACTGACACCAGTCAGATTCGCACAGAAGTCTTTTTTTCCAAGTGTCTACTTTAACTCCTCAATAAGCCATACTGCCTTGATTTTGCAGCTAAATTATCTATTGCAGCTGAACTAGGCAAAACAGCAAAATCTATTAAAAAGTATCAAAATGCAGAAATGTGCAGCATCTTGCTGCAAACATGAAGGCACATTGCAGATCTTGTGCACAGATGTTCTCAAAAAGTCACTGTATGTTCTAAATATATATTAAATAGAACACTACTAAATAATTACAACTAAATAATGTACTAAATACTGTGCTGTTTTAGGGCATAAGTATAAGCATGCATATAGTCTAAATTGGCAACATTTTTGTCTTTGCGTGATTTAGTAAACTCCTATACACACAGAGCAAATATTTCTTTAAAACAGAAAGAAATGGAAACGTTAAATTATATTTAAATCATAATGGCTTTGATACAAACCAGCAAAATTACCAAATTAAGATTTAAGACAAACTCTGGAGTATACATTTTCCTCAAAATTTCATGGAACTTGTACATTCAACTAGTGAGATATTTATTTTCCCATATCAAAGTAAGAATATGAATCTTAAATATCTGACTTCATTATTTTATCTAATGGGCACATTAGCTAGGACTAAGGTTTCAACCCTACTCTAAATTTCATGTGGGTATGGTCAATGTAGAACATTTTAGAACTGTATATAGAAACCCATGTGCCAGAAATATTAGTATGCAAAATACCAAATTTGAAAAACTTGGGAGAGGGATGTCTGCATTAGAATAGAAGTCTTTAAGCCACCATGTAGTCCTTTAAGTTTACAGTTCATTGAGTAGTAGCCTACAATGGAAAACATGAAATAAGGGTGCATAAACAAACAGCAGCCAATGGAAATTAGTATGATATTTATACAAATTGGATATGTATATACAGTAACAGAACTAAAATATATATTAAAAGTAAATGCAATTGAAGGGTGCTTTTCTTGGAAATTACAATCTTAAAGCCGTGCATGGTTTCATAGGCTAAGGAAAGAAAAAAAAAAAACTTTCACTACTTAAACATGCATTTGGACTCTTTCAGTTATAAATAAAACACACTTACTGTTACACCTCTTTGAAAGCATTAATGAAATCAAGAAAATAACAGTATGCATCTTCAAACGAGAGCATATGTTTTTGGGAAAGTCTATTAACACCTTATCAATTCCCCCTATTTCCAGCAGGCTCTGTTAAGTAACAATTGCAATGGATCACACCAAACTCAATTTGAAAAATGCTATTGACCTTTAGTTCTCAGAACACTAACCACCCAGGATTTTAAGAGCTGTGTTAAAGAGCATAACTTGTTCAAATATATTGCCAACATTAAAACTTTCAGATTCAAAGCTGGCTAAAACAAATAGCTTTGCGGATTTTTTTTTTTTTAAGAGGTCCACCTATTGCCAGGGACCCAACAGAAAGAGAGACTAAAAATCACTGAAAGCTTGTACACAGTATAAAATTAGGTTCTAAACTTAGATAATAACACTTTTTCCCCCTCAAAAGTTCATGCGAGTTGAAGACAACACTTCAATTCCAGCTATTTCATGAAGTCCTAGTGAATGAAGTGCATTTTCTAATTAAAAAAAAAATTAAAACCAACATTTACCTTGCAGCAGATCACTTATAAAAAATAGTTACTTTTCTAAATGTTATATGTGCTGCCACCTAGAGGTTAAACATCAGTATTTTTTTTAAAGAGAGAAGTGACCTGCCTATAATCAAAGAGAAGCTTACACAGACCCAATGTTGCAGTGTTCATACATACCCAAAATCTTTTTTTTTTTTTTTTTTTTTTTTTTAAACAGAGTAGGGTGCCCTCTCGAATGAGGTCATTTGTATACATTTTCATGGTGACAAACACTTGGGCATATGGCCTCACCCTATCCTCTCAATTACCTAGGCTCTATGGAAGTGAAGATATAGCAGTTTGGTGGATCTGTGCAGGTAATCATCTAAAAAAATTCTATTCACATTTAGGTAACTTGTTTTCCTTCCTTCTCTATTTCCAAAGCCACAGCTTTCTGCTACATAATAATAATTGTATATCTGAAGGAGACTTAAAACTCCGAAGTTAGGGGAATTTATGCCTTCCAGATATCTCCTTGGAAGAATAATACAGCCAAATGTAGCATGCTGAGCAAGTTCCCTACTTGTGTTGAGGACAACTGTTTCACAAAATTGAGGATACAACTAGGGGATCATCTTTTCCTGACCAATAGGGAAGAACTGGTTAAGCATGTGTAACTTGGAAGGAAACAACAGGGATATGATAGAATTCATAATTCTGAAATGAGGAAAGCATGAGGAAAGCAGAATAAAGAAACTGGATTACAACAGGACAGATTTCAATTAACTGAGGGAAATAAATAATAGGCAAGATGCCATGGAAGGATGGACTGAAGGATAAAGGAGCCATGGAGAGCTGGCAGTTTCTAAAGTGGAAGCTCTATAAGAAGCTACTCTGGCAAGATGGAAGCACAAGAATGGCAAGAGACCTATGTGGCTGTACAAAATGCATTTAGGATGCCTCAAAATAAAATACAAACATACATGTGTGCAGGCAAGTCACTAAGGAAGCATACCAAAAACAGCAAGAACTTGCATGGTAACGTCATTGAGGCAAAGATAAAAAGTGAGCTCTACCCATTAAGTGAAGTTATGGACAACAATAAAAGATGCCATAAATACACTTGTCAGAAAAGAAAGACCAAGGAAGCTGCTAAATAGCCAGGGTGACCTCTTAACAAAAGATGCAAGGAAAGTGGAGTTGCTCAACAGGCATTTTGAGAACTTCTGATCAGTTTGAATGAATTCAAGTCACCAGGCCCTGATGAACTTCACTCCAGGGTACTGAATGAACTGGCAGAAGAGATCTCAGCGTCCATGGCAATTATATACACCAAACTATGGGAAACAGGCAAGTTACCAAGAGATTAGAAAAGGACTAAAAAATGGCAAAAAGGAGGCCCCAAGGAATTAAACTTCTTAGCCTGACTTCAGTGCCTAAAAAGTTATCAGAGCAAATTATAAGCATGTCTACTTGTAAGACTCTTGAGGAAGAAAGGCAAGCAGCCAGCACAAACTTGCTAAGAACAAGTCAGGCCAAATGATCTTCGATAAAGTAACTAGCTGGGTGAACGGAGAGAATGGAATATATATGGACATAATGTATCTGGACTTCAATAAGGCTTCTGAAAGTTCTCCATGGCCTTCTCATGAACAAACTGGAAAGACATGAGCTAGACCAGGGGTGGGTGTATTTTGGGCAGAGGGCAGCTTACTGAGTTTTGGCAAACCATCATGGGCCGCATGACAAGCAGCCCAGTGCAGATAAGTATTAATTTTCAAAAATTTTTAAGGGCCCCACAGGCCGGATAGAATGGCCTGGCGGGCCGCATCCGGCCCCCGGGCCACATTTTGCCCACCCCTGAGCTAGACAAAACTATTACAAGGTGGCTTAATAGTCATGAGCTAAGGTCAAAGGATCCATGTTAGAATGGCAGGAAGTTTTGCATCCTCAGCAAGGGTGCAGCTGCTTTTGCTGGCGCCTCCACTCCCCGGCCAGCGCTCACAGCAGGGGCAATGGTGCTCCCGCTTGCCCCCCGCCTAAACAGGCAGCGCAGCCTGACAAGGTGTGCATCACCTAGTCCTCAGTCCTTTGATGTTCAATGGGTTTATTAATGATTTGGATGTTCAAATAAATAGCTTCCTGAGCAAATTTATGGGCGATATGAAATTGGGAAGGACTGCAAGGCCACTGGAGGATATAAGTACAACTCAGAAGGATCTTGATAAATTTTATCCCACAGTCGTCAAACAGCCACTGAC